CCCGCCATTCTCTCTTTGAACCCGTTCAATCCGGCTTCCGCGCTGCCCACAGCACGAAAACAGCGCTGGTCAAAGTCACTAATCACATTCTGAATATCTGTGATCAGGGCTCCCTCTGCCTCCTTGTTGTCCTAGACCTCTCTGCCATCTTCGACACTGTCGACCACTCCGTCCTCATACATCGCCTCTCCTCTTTACTCAAATCTTCACGAATCTGCACTTGCCTGGTTTGATTCTTATCTCTCTCACCATCTCCACTTCGTTGCCTCTAACAGTTTCTCCTCCAGCCCCTGCACTGTCACATCTGGCGTCCCCCCAGGGCTCCGTCCTTGGCCCTCTCCTTTAATATCTACATGCTCCCCCTTGGTGACATCATCCGCAGACATGCTCAACTCCAGGACCACTGCTGTCCTGACAGACTGTCTGTCGGACATCAAGTCCTGGATGAGGGCAAATTTCCTACAGTTGAATGTGAACAAGACTGAGGCCCTCCTGATTGGCTCGCGCCAGCGCCTCAGCACCTCAGGCTCTGGCAGCATCAACCTCCATGGTTGCACACTACAACTCACCAGCCAGTCAGGAGCCTCGGTGTCTTGTTCGACCCTCAACTGCCTTTTCTTCTTCACATCCAAGCCATGACCCGCTCTGCCTTCCCTCACCTCCGTAACATCAACCGACTTACCCTTCAGGCCCCTGAAACTCTTGTTCATGCCTTCATCACCTCCAGGCTCGACTATGCAAACGCCCTGCTTGTCGGCCTTCCCGACTCCTCCCTCCACAGGCTGCAGGTAATCCAAAACTCTGCAGCCCGTGTCCTCTCCCGCACCAAACTCCGTGACCCCATCTCCCCCACTCTCACCCGACTCCCTATCCTTCAGAGGATCCAGTTCAAGATCCTGGTCCTCACCTACAAAGCCCTCCATGGCCTCGCCCTATCCTACCTCTCTGACCTCCTAACCCCCTACCAACCCACCCGTTCCCTTCGCTCAGCTGGCTCCAGCCTGCTCCACATCCCCCGACCCACCGGTCCCACCATTGGCGGGAGAGCCTTCAGCGACTCTGCCCCCAACCTCTGGAATTCCATCCCCCAGTCACTCACCCCCCGCTCCTTAGCCTCCTTCAAGTCCCACCTCAAGACCGTCCTCTTCGACCATGCCATCGGCCACCCCCCTTCCCCTCCCCCTCCCTGACCCCAGCTTGGGTCTGAAATGCTGTACACTGTCCAGCACCTTGGGATGTCCTCCCAACGTGAACGGTGCTATGCAAATGTAATCTTATTGTTGTTCAAACAGTGCCATAGAATCTCTAAAATCCAGCTGATCGAGCAGACTGGACCTCAGTTTAATGTCTCATCCAAAGTTGCCTCCGAGAACACAGCGCTGTATTGGAGTGTCAACATAGACTGAGTTCCACATCCTGACATACAATACAAAATTACATTTGTAAGAGCGCCTTTCATGTCGGGAGGTCATCCCAAGCCCCAGGATAGTCAGGGATTTGGACCCGAGTGGGGGGACTGGTTGGGATCAGGGGGGGTGGAGGGCAAGAGGGTGGCCAAAGGCTTGGTCGAAGAGGAGGGTCTTGAGACATACCTTGAAGGAGGCAAGGGAGGGAGCGAGGCAAAGGGAATGTGGGATGGTGTTCCAAAGTGTGGGGGCAGAGAGGCTGATGTCCCGACCGCCGATTGTGGGGTGGACCAGGTGGGGGATGTGGAGCAGGCCGGAGCCTGCTGAGTGGAGGGAAGGGACAGATTGGTAAGGGGTAGGCAGGTCACAAAGGTAGGAAGGAGCAAGGCCATGGAGGGCCTTGAAGGTGAGGTCAAAGATCTTGAACTCTGTCTTCTGAGGGATGAGGAGCCAGTGGAGCCAGGCAAAGGTGGGGGTGACATAGGGCTTGAACCACAACCTTCTGTCTCAGAGGTGAAACTGCTACGTTCGAGTGGTAGCAATATATTTTCACTTGAGACTACAGTTCTACATTGCTCCTTTCAAGCAGGATTCTTTCTTAAAAATGCTGCACACATACATTTCAGATATTGTAAATCGATCACTAATCATAAAAAGGGATTCTTTCAGAGATTGAGATGCACTCTCAAACTTGCAAACAATTTTTAATATGGTAACTAAACATTTCTAATTTACCTTTCACACCACCTCTACTTCGTCACGGCAAACGGCTTCTCTTCCAGCCCCCGCACTGTCTCGTGTACAGTTCCTCGGGGCTCTGTCCTCGGTCCCCTCCTCTTCACCCTCTACATGCTTCCCCTTGGTGACGTCATCCGCAGACATGGGGTAAATTTCCACATGTATACGGATGACACCCAACTCTCTCTCTCTGCCTCCACCCTGAACTCCAGGACTACTGGCGTCCTGACCTACTGCCTGTCCAACATCAAGTCCTGGACTTGGGCCAACTTTCTCCAACTCAACGTCAGCAAGACTGAGGCCCTCCTGATTGGCTCGCGCCAGCGCCTCCGCACCTCAGCCTCCGTGGCTGCACACTCAACCTCACTGAGCCAGTCAGGAACCTGGGTATCTTGTTTGACCCTGATTAATTCTTTCTCCCCCACATCCGCGCCATGACCGGCATTGCCTACCACGACCTCCGCAACATTGCCAGACTCTACCACTGCCTCACCCCTCAGGCTGCCAAAACCCTCACCCACGCATTTGTCAGCTCAAGGCTTGATTATGGGAACTCCCTCCTCATCGGCCTTCCCAACTCTTCCCTTCACAAGCTGCAGATCATCCAAAACTGCAGCTCGTGTACTCACGCACCAGGCTCCGTGACCCCATCACTCCCACCCTCGCCCGACTCCACTGGCTCCCCATCCCCCAGAGGATTGAGTTCAAGATCCTCATCCTCACCTTTAAGGCCATCCATGGCCTTGCCCCCTCCTACCTCTCTGACCTGCTGACTCCCTACCAACCTGCCCGCTCCCTCCGTTCATTGGGCTCCGGACTGCTCCATGTCTTCCACCCGACTCGCCCTACCATCCGTGGCCGGGCTTTCAGCCTCTCTGCCCCCACACTCTGGAACTCCATCCCACGTCCCTTCACCTCACTTCCTCCCTTGCCTCCTTCAAGGCCGGTCTCAAGACCCTTCTCTTCGATCGTGCCTTTGGTCTCCCTCCCACCTCCCTGCCTTCCCTCACCCCTACACCATCCCTCCCCCATGCTCGGGCACCGACACCTGACTGTTCAACGCTTTGGGCCGTCCTCCTGCCGTGAAAGGCGCTCTATAAATGTAATTTTGTTGTTGTTTTATACATAACCTTTTGAGCTCCACAGAAGTTGTCTCACAATACACACTTGGAAAGTCAAGCTGGGCAAAATATTATAACCCACAATGTGAAATTACAAGTGAGTACACATTTCTTGTACATTTGAACAGGCTCAAAATGTTTGTTGGGCTCAATTTTTTACAAAAGTGAATTGCAACATCTAGAATAAATGAGTGGAACTTTTAATTAAAGCAGAAATTAACATGAGGGTAATTACAAAATAAAATGCGCAATGTTTGAGAGCAAAGAATGTAACTTAAGAGGAACTGAACCCCTAAACACATAATTTAAAATTGACAATCATCATTGCATTGGATCACACTATCTAGATATAAAACAACAGTGTCAAAGGAATTATATACATTTAGTTCTACTGTACACAGATTTTTATAAAATCCATGTGATTAAAACTTTACATTAGAGCAGCACACTTTTGCTTCTACATTCACCTGTTTATGAGAGGCGTTATACAAATGTAATTTGTTGTTGAGGTGCCTTGTTCTAATCTTAAAACCTTCAAGTTTGAAAAAAAAGTTTGACATGTTAAGCAGTGATTTAGTTGCTGAACAGCTGCGGCATTACTGTACATGTCCGCTTATATTTTAATAGGTTTTGTTAATGTCTGTTTGTCAAATACTTGTTCACATTTCTGTTTACATGCAACCCTTAGAATATGGAATCAGTAGATTTCAAATATTTAATGCAAACTGTGCAAGACTAAACAGTAGAGAAATGTATAGAACCACAGACCATTTAATTTACAGTATTCAAAAAGGAACACTTTAAATTAACCTCAATTGGATTGAGTTTTTAAACAATTACCTGATTACACTCAGTCCTTTAAAATGGTGTTAAATCTGCCTCAATTGGCCGCAGCTTTTGATTACTCTCGTGATTCCTGGGAAAAATATGTATGGAGCAACAGGATTAATCTCAAGTGTAATATCCTATGATCACATACTCCATTGACATTCACTATCCAGGCTCACAAGTGGAAGATGATACTTAAGTGAAGTAGTGAGTGATAGCTGGTACCTGTGGAACTGTACTCCAACAAACTCCTCTTCAAGAGAGAGAGGCTTATATTTACCAAAAGGAAATAGGATATGAAGTGTAAAAAAACAAAATGTACAAACAACAACGTAAAACAAGTAAAATTAATATAGTCAAAAGGAGACAAGGTGGGGAGAAATCCTTGGACACAAAGCTTTGATGTTTCTGCTTGGATAATAATAATCCTTGCATTTAATATAGCGCCTTATCACAGCTCAAAGCGCTTCACAGGGTATACTATATATATTCTATATATCCACATACACTGGGATAAACAAAAATACCAACTTCTTTTAGTACAATGAACTCCTAGCATTTTACAATCCACAGCCGGAAAAGTGGAAATAGACATTGAAATCCAAGAAGCCAAAACAACAACTGATGTGATCAATAAATTCTTAACGGTCCTGTAGCTGGTTCCAATTTCAAGGCTGGAAGTTGGGGCATTGTTGGTTGTAATAAAGAGACCTCTCTTCTACATTGAGTCTATACTCTGTAGAATTTGCTTGGTGGTCAAAATGGAATAAACCTATCCATTCACTAGTATGCTCTCTCGTTTAGAGCAGATCGGAGCTATTGTTATATCACATAACAAGTAATTATAAAATAGCAGAGGCAACCCACCCTCCTATTGGTTGTGGACTGGTGAGCAAGACAAATCTTGTTTCCATTTCAGTAATATCTTTTTATTTTAATTTAATGGTCAACTAAATACAGTAGCAATGTTAAAAACAAAAAGTGACTTTAACACTCGAAACAGATTTCAATAAAATAGAAGAAAGGCATCAGAATATCTTTATACTGAATTGCTTTATTCAATCTTTCTGTGAAGCAAACATTTGTGTGTGAAAGATATTCATTTTGCTGGAATAAAATGTTTCCATTAATATAGCCAATTAATTGGCATGTAGGCTATGATATTATATTTCAACAACACTGAGTATCAAGTCAATATGTTTCTGAACATTTTTTCATTAATAGGCACAATTTGAAGGTAATACAGGCATTCAGTTTTCAAAAGTTTAATCTAATGCCAGTATGAAAGAAAACTTTGAGCCTATCATGATACTGGTTTATCAGTATAAACTATTGCAATACAGAAACTACAGTAAAATCTTGATAACTTGTCATTCAAGGGAAAAGGGTTCGGGAGTGACAGGTTAGGCATAGGTATAAACACATGAATAAATGTGGTTGGGATATTGAGAGCATTATGATTCAATGATAGTGACGAGTTAGGTCAGGGTCAAATTATCAGGAGTTTACTGTAGTATAAAGTGTTGCACAATGAACTCTGTTGCACAATGTCTGAAACACTTGTTAAGTTTGTCACAATATAATTTGTTTAATGCAAATATGCACAGGTCAATCTATGTTGAACAAGTCCTCATAACAAATTATTGAAACTGGTGAAACATCAGATGTTTAGCATACAAATAAACTATAGAGGATAGTGGGAAGAAAATATGAACAGGGTGAAATCATTTAACACTTTACAATCCCTTGTTATCCCACCTTTCTAATACATCAATATTTGGGGCATTAAAAGTTAAAATATAGCAGTATCTAAATATTGTGCAGTTCAATACTACTAGCCCAATTTCAAAGCATCTTTTCAGCTCGATTGCAAGGTTTGACAAAAAATGGTTCCTTTGTTCAACCTGCATCAACTCACCAGATTTTCCATTTTTTTTAAGTTTACATTTTTTTTTAAAAAAGTTCCCTGTTTTTAGATGCTAAAATGTAGGACCTGTTTTTTTTTATAGTACATTTCATCCAACTGAACAGTGCAACATTATGGTCTTCTCCTCTCCCCTCTAAAGCTTGACTTTTTTTTCCTTTATCTTGGCCCAATTCCATAAGCACTTGCCACCTCACCCAAGTTGTCACTCACCAGGTGTGAGCCACCAGTGAGCAGTCCAATACAGTTCTCAACTAACACCTAAATGTTAGGATGCACCTCCTGCAGAAGATAGGTTATAGGATAGTGATCAAAATTCTTGCATTATTTGCCTCTCCCTAACAAAGGGAACACTGAACCTTCCCACTATTTACGGCTTAATTATTCACTAGGTGAACTCAGTGAGTCAATGGGGGAAGTTATTTCTATTGTAACCACTAATGGATCATTTTCTGAGCCCAGAACATTCTATCATTGCTAACAGAATATTTTTCCACTCTGAACTCTTTTGCAAAAGATGCAGATGAACATGCAATGAGAAATGCAGAAGAAACATGTTCAGCATTCAAGATACGTGGTCAAGATTTTAAACATTTTTCACAAGCTCTTTTTGGAGACATTAGTTAAGTTTGCAGCCAATAACAACTTAATCTTGAAATATTTTCTAAAACTGGGTGCATTTGGCTCACCTATATGTACTTTAATGTTACACTGAGGCAAAGGCAACAAATCACTATTTGCATTAGTGATCTTTCTGATTTAATTTCTAAAAAGGTGAACAAGTTCACAGTAATCCACATTTTTCGCAATAGTTGTACATTTTGTACTTGGAACTTCTACAGTACTAATTAAAATAATCAAATTGAGGTCATACAGGTTAATTTCCTCTTTCTCATGAAAGGAGATCAAGGGTTTGTGCATCCATAAGGTAAAAATCAATGGAGGAGAGCACACAATCACACTACCCATTTCCATTCTCTTTAAATTACACACTAGTAGACAAAGCAATAGTAGTTGTGTATAGTGATCTCTTGTAGACTAAGGTTGATGGTAATTTAGTCCATAAATAATCACATCTCAGACTTAAAACTAAATCAACAAAAGTAGAGGGTCATTGTGTATGAGTACTATTGCAGTAAATGCATCACTGAGCTATTTTTCTTTTTTAAAAAATCATATTGGATTACATCAGGGAATAGTCTATTAAAATCCAATGTCTCAAATTGGCTAATTTGTAGCAAAGTCTTCAAATGACACATTTTAAAGCCAACACGTGGTAAAAATGGATTTAAAAACTAAATTGAGTCCATTCTCATATTCCAACCATCCATCTAATAATGGATTTGCTGATAAAATTGAGTTTATTCCATAAATAGAGGCTTCTTTGTGTGAATCAAAACATGAATGAATGACTTTGCTTCAAAATCTGCCATCTCTCTCCAATTAGAAAATAGAACTTATGCATTCAAAGTCTATCATGCTAATGTATGACTCAATATAAAATAAACTTCCATGAAACTGTGCTGAAAGTACTCACATTGTGATGCAATTATTTGACATTAAATAAGTAATGTGCTTGAAAACACCCAGAAGTGAAAACAAAGATCATTAAACTTAATCTTCAAAACATCTGGTTATAATAGTAATAGTGAAGACTGTTCTAAAGCCTTTAAAATATTTTTAATGCATGAACACAAAAGTAAAACACCTGCCATTTGGTACTTGTATCACTACCTCAAGAGGCAAGATTCATTAACCTGCAAAAAAAGCTTCTTTGTTTAAAAAAGTTTGAAGCTGAAACAATCCATTCTGGCCTGCCTTTCCAATTACATGTTTCATACAGTATAATGTTTCTGCATTCAGCAGAAAAAGCTGTGTCCAAGCTAAAACAATTAAGGAAAAAAAGGGATGAAAATAATCTCTCCAGTATACAACAGTATTAAAAAAACATGGAAAATAGATCAATTCTAAATACTGAAAAAGTACTTTTGTGTACAAAGGCTAAGTTGCATTAACCGTGCAAGAACACATTTGACCTCATCAGACACACTTCTGCAGATTTTTTAAAAAATCCCCCCCTCTGCTTGTTGAACCTCTATGTCTTTAAACACCTGAGAAAGGAAAGGTCTATTTCTCCACTGATCTTACAGCTTGTACCACGAGACCCTCTGATCCCTCCGTATCAAAGCCAGAAAGGCATTCCGTCATAGGTCAAAGCATTTCATAATTGCATCTCGATCAAACTTGAAGCTGAGGAAGGCAGTCGATGAGAAACTGAAGTCAGAGTTTCCATTGCTGGAATCTGAGAGGTCAGAACCAGATCTGCATGTCCCAGTAATGTCTAAAAGCTGATTAGAGCTGCACAGCTCACAAACTGCATCTGAACGTGAGAAAAAGGATAATCAGAGATGTCATTAAAAGCAGGTTACAAATTTCTACAATATCAAATGTTGCACAGATAAAAAAAAATATACATATTTGAAGTTGAACTTACCAGTTTCAAAATTGTCCTGAAGTCGCCTTGGCTGAAGCTTTTTATCAGATTTCTACAAATAAAAAAAAATCCAGCATTAAGCCAACTTTACTGGATAAGGAGAAACATTCATGGTATTAATGTGTGGTGCAATAGATAACACCTTCACCAGGGTAGTGCAGCATAGTATCAGATCTAAACCAAGTGGTCAGATAATGAAAGCAAGGATCAGAAACCTTAGATCATGTTTCAGGTAACTCCAGACAGCTAGTAAAGACCTTCAACTACTGGTTCTCAAGGAGAGAAAATGTGCAAAATTAACTTATTTTGAAAAAAAACAAAATAACCATATGATATTTGATGATTTCTCTACACAAAAGCAACATGGTAGATATAACAGTAGCAGTATATAACAGTACCACTTCCAGACGTGGTAATCATTAAAGAAAGAGCACAATAAAATGGAAATTTGGGAATGCATTTAAATTCCAATTCAATATTTTTTCTCACCACCTCACAAAAGTACTTGGGCCAAACAAAATATTACATTAACTACCACAGGTTAATCATTCTCATTTTAAAATGCAGTTCAGACATAGAAATTGGTCGTCTTCCAACTATATTGGGGGTGGGGGGGATTAAATCCAACATTCGCCATGCAGTGATCACATTGGTCTTGCAGTTTTCCCAATCCCTTGCTTGGAAAGCATACCTCAATTCTGTTGAAAGGGTGCAGCAGCAAAAACCCCAGTGATAAACTTTATGGAGAGAATAAATTTAAAATTTAAAAACAATAATGACCACATCTTTAAAGAGATACCGACATTCAACACACAAATGAATTGTGGCATGTACAGAAAGTGGTGAGAATCTTGTTGCCAGATCAATGGAGGTTTTAGACAAACTTGAATTGCTTCCCATCACTTCAGCCAGTAAGTGTGCTTGTGGAAGCATTTCGCACGTTTTAATGCATCTTGACCCGTCACCACATACACACTTACTGCCAAGCCACGGAATAACATTGCATTGCAGGAAATTAAGTTTTTCTGTGCATGCAGTGACAGATCAAGACTAAGTTTCCCACAGTTCAATGCAGCCAGTTAGTAATGAAGAATAAAGGACCAGCATTACAACATCGGAGATAATTTACTTATAAAATACAAACTTATAAAAGAAATCTAAGTGGTTTTGATAGAAAACTGAATGGCACTTGAGTGCATGTATTACTTGGGTGATTATAAGATTTATGAAGACTTACGCTGTTTTACTGTATCACCACTTCTTGAGGGAGGGAGGGGAGGGAGGGAGGGAGGGGAGGGATAAGAATAGGTAGGTGCAGCTGCTGGCCTCCTCAATCGGAAAATACAATTCCAGGTCTGTGTACCGTATGAGATTGTGAGTTTTGTGCACCCCTGGAATTTTTGTTAATATAAAGGTACGATAAGCAAAGTTTAAGAGTACTGTAGGAAAAGGCCTAATAAAACATGCTGAGACTTACTTTAATGTCAGTAAGATTGCCAAACCTGAGAGGCTGGATGATTTATAGCTTCAGCTACAGATGGATTACCAAAGTCCTAAAGAATCACAGCACTTCCTAATTTGATATAGAACTTGAGCTCTGCCACGTTTCTGCCCTCTGCCCTCCAACCAGCTTATATCTAACCTACAGCTGTGCTTCTTCAACTTGCTTGAACCAGGGTTCTCAGTACAGAGCAGACAATCCCAGCGATTTAAACAGTCCTCAAGGCAGGTTCCAACAAGCAAACTTAAGATAGGCTGCACACTTCTTGAAACTGCTGATTTCTTGAACAAGCACATCTCAAGGCCATCAGTGAGAAAACTCCATGACAAGGGGATACTTGACTTACTGCTTCCAATTGCTTTAAATTTGTTTCTTATCCAGTTACACATTCATACACAAAAACAGTGAAGCATTGTCATGGTTGAGTTTATTATAGACCTAGATATCTCCACTCCGCCATATCTGATGACGCTACACTCAATTCAGAAGTCTTGAATATTGATCACTGATAGTTAAAATGTGTTCCTATTCTCCAACGATTCCTTTCTTCTCTGCAAAAAGGCTAGTATTGCATTGTTTCAGGATGAAATGTTTTCAGAATTAATATTTGCAGCGATAAAATGTGGAAAGGAAAAACACTAATATTTCATTTGCAATTGACAGCCATTCCTCACCAAAAGCAAAAACTCACCAATATCTGATATTGCTTTATTTGCTGATCGTTTACTCCATTAGACTTCTTCTTTTGGTTGGGAGAGTCTTGGTGCTGCTTTCTGCCATTACCCCGCACATTATGTGACTAATAAAAATAAAACAAAATCCAGGTGTTCAAAAATGTGAATAAAACTGCAGAATGTTGCGATCAGAATGGACATGCTTATACTAAATAAAAACAGACCCGATAATCCACAGGTTAATATGCAGAAGAAACAAATCTTCCAATTATCCAAAATAAGGAATCCACAACCTAACAGTTTAGGAGGTAACTCACTTTCTTCCAAGTCTCAAGACCACCAATTACGTCTGGAAAATTGAATTTTTTCAGTTTGTGGCTCAACTGCTAAAACTTGAGACAGGAGTTGTATCTCAACAGAAGAACAGCTGATACAACCTCCTGTTGCACCTCCTTTTAATACTCATAAAACAGCCTGTTGGCAATGGAAATGCCTGTACCACAGACCACTTAGCACTCCTGGTGAAAATTTGTTAGGGTGAGAAACAGTCACAAGAAAGAAAAAGGTAAACAAATTATGATTTTATTTAAAAATCACTAATGGAAGTTAGAACTATACAAACCCATGTATGAATTAGAACTAGTCAGCTGCAAAACTAGATTTGCCAATACACAGATGCAAACCTAGATTTTTGAAATCCAGTGGCAAACTGCAGTTTCAGCTCACAATTTGATTTTGGATTCTACTGTAGGTCAAATACTACAAAAACTGTGCAGAAGCCCCATAATGGAGAAGTCTTGGTAGCTCTTAATGTCCTCCCAAGGACAGAACTAGATGTAGGAAAAATTTTAAAACTTCCACAAAATTAAATCGACTTCACAAACCTTTTATTTACCCTGAAAATGTAGCAAACATCAAAATTCCAAATTTTAGTTTTTAAACTGATATTCACACAAAAATTATGCCTCCAACTCGTGTACTTTACATCAAAAGGAAAGCCACACCATACAATATAGGAAATACAATTCTGTAGGGGTAGATTATTAAAGGAATAAGATGTCTGTAAATGTGAGTATTTTCCCCACAAACATTTAAGTTACTGAGCAACAATTACAACTTGCATTATTCAGCATACAAGTACAAAGACTAGGATTTTCAAAATTGAAGTACTGAAACTGAACCTGAGAACCTTTGTACATTCAGCATTACCAAATAAACACTGCATGTAGTGCTCCAGAGGTATTAAGGAGGTTAGCGAAATGGATTACAATTAAAAGATCTGCCAAAATGTAGTAAACTGGTGAATAACTTTCTCTTGTCCTCCCACATTTCCTAAGCAGGAGATACAGTATAAAACACAACATCTGCCACAGCTAATTACCCTGTGTTCCCAGAATTCCAGCCAGCAGCTACAGGAAGCAAAGACACTGATCAGACCCACCCACACAAGATTAGCAATTTTGCATCATCAAGAGATAAATTTACTACAAGAGGAAACTATTTTTTTTCTTTATGACTTCTCCCTCACAATAAGACAATACGTTTAAAGAAATAGAACTCACCTTTGACTTTAAAGGCTCAGAAATGTCATGTGGATTGTTTGGGCTGAATGGCTTTGATTGTGATTTGTGTTTAACTGAGCCTGCCCATTGATCTGCCGTGCACCCATCAAGTAACTGCTGGTTCTGTTGTGTTTTGGACCTGTCCAAATAAATTAAATATGTTAAGATTTTTGTGTTATTCACCACCAAGTAAAAATTATTTTCTATTCCAATTTTAATCTCCTTCAAGTACAGGGTTTTTAAACAAACTTTCGAGTTTGTAATTTCTTTTTAAAAAATCATTAAATAAGGACACAGAGAAACCTGGCTAATCATCACATATTAAATTTTAGGTGTTAGATTACGAAGTTAAGAGAACAGCATTCCCCACAAAGTAATAGTGGAAAACTGTTTGTCTATAACCTAAATATGTTATCTAATAAAAATCATCAAATTTGCTGAATTAGTGCTTGTGTATAAATCTATATTGTCCAGTCTGTCTGTCAGACTACACGATATAGATTTACACGCAGCACTAATTCAGTAAATTTAATGATTTCTTCCATCCTTGCATTTGATATAGCGCTTTTCACGTCGGGAGGACGTCCCTCAAAAAGAACCATTCAAATGATTTTTAAAACGATTAGAATATTTTTTTAACCTTAAAAACAACCTTACCTTACACCTACTTTATCCAAAACAGTTTTGGACGGAGTTGCGTTGTTCGATGCAAGACCATCACTGTCTGAAGAGTCTCCGTAGTTTTTGGCCAGCCAATCTCTTAAGGGTCTGTGCAATAACAAAAACCTAGCATTTGTAAACATTTTTCAAAAGAACGTTCATAGAAATAAAACTTGATATTTTTATAGCACTTCCTCTTTGAAACATCTCAGAACACTTCAAGTAATTACTGTGCTGAGCAGTGACTATTTTTGTAGGTTAATGCTGCCATTTGCATTAACAAACTTCTACAGACAGTCAAGGTATGAAAAGACAATTTGGATGACCGTTGGCCAGATTAAGAGAAATTCCCTGCTCTTATTTGGGGAAAAACAAACTATCTGCACATGCTTGACCTAGTTCTAAATTATTACTGGACAAAGAAATAGTGACATTTATTTTTGGCTTATAGCTGTGCAATAGGCACATGAAAGCTAAAACATAACCATTAGTTATGGAATGTTCAGCATGAAGCTGCATGAGTGCAAAATGCCTTAATTTGCACAACAGCTTTATAGGTTTCCATGAAAGCATGGAAAATCAATCCATTATACAAAGAAAAATAATTCAATAAACAAAACATATTTTACATGAGCACTCAATGTTGGTTAAGATATCAGTTCCTTCTCTTTTAACAGCAGTTAAACCAACTGAAGCAGCAATAAGTTATACAATTTTAAGAGCCGATTATTGCATGGATGTAAAACATTTGACGATATCAAACATCAATATGAGCAAGTATGTTCAATCCCAGATTTATTCACAATGCCCCAAAAAACTATTATTCAACTTTGTTTCTCACTCCTCCGCCCACCACATACCCATTAATCATACCTTATAAAAGGAATAGCCATGAAAAACTTGTTGGGTGCTAAACCCAGTTTGGACTTGGGAGTCATGTCATTCCTATGACATGGCAGCTTCTCGATGGAAAACCATTCAATATTCTGCAAAACAAGTTTGTTAATTAGCAAACAATACTCATTTTTGCTCCCCCCATAAAAATCAAACTTTTTTACTCTCTTCTAAATGCACCAAGTACATGCTGTGATGAGATTCCAAACACCCTGCAGTACTTCCAAGGGTCATGTTTCACTTGAATCAGCAGTCTGTTTGCTTATTTGGGTATCACAGGTGACCCCAATCCATTGCTCACCTAATGCTCACGTTCCAGCATGGTCACTGACCCTCCAACCCAAATTCCAAGAGCAATCATAGCACCCATATTGCTAACCAAACAAGACAAGATACCACACAGATCTGGGATCTTCTTGGCCTTTATAATTCAGCTTTATACCAGGCAGTGTTTTTTTTTTTTACAAACAACAAGATTACATCTGTATAGCGCCTTTCATGTCGGGAGGACATCTCAAGGCGCTGGACAGAGTACAGCATTTCAGTCCTGAGCTGTGGTCGGGGGGGAAGGGAGGGGAGGTGGCCGATGGCATGGTCGAAGAGGAGGGTCTTGAGGCAGGACCTGAAGGAGGATAAGGAATTTGAAGAGCCTCAAGGTTGTTTAAACATTCGCTGCATTGTATTAAAGAAATCCTGAACTAAAGAAGCTTGTGATTGAATGGCAGATTTCTGAAAATTCCACGAAAATGTGACAAAGGTTCCACAGGATTACCTAGTATCAATGGTATATGCTAACCTTAAATTTGGAACTCAGTAAAATAGAAGAAATTTGCAATAATCTCTACCCTGATTTCCTTTCGAGTTTTGGGGTTAAACTTTGTCTCCTTTGGAACCCCTGGGATTATGTACAAGCGAGCCAACTGGTCATTGATTCTTTGTTCAATGAAGTCATCCTTGCAGATACGGTCCCTTATGTCAAAGCCAGTTTCTTCTAGAACCTGAAAATAAAATGTAAAAAACTCAAGACAACAAAATATTATAAGATATTTAAAAGGAAAATAATTGGAAAATAAAAATCACAAATATAAACGCTCATGTTCAAATTGTGATACTTTCAAATTGCTTGAATCCAATAATTACAATGACTCAGATACATTTAACTTAACAATGGAAGAAAAGCAACATTGGGGACCCAACTATTGGAGCACTTTCCCTTAGGTTACTTCACTAAACATTGCAGCATGTGGTTCAATGACCCTCTACAGGAAAGCAATATTTCTAAAAACATTTTTAAAAAACTGTGTGAATAATCATCTGTTGATTAGAAACGTGATTTATACCTCATCGGAAAGGTCTTGCACGTAGGAGTGACATGGGCATATTTGTTTTCGGGTATCTGCTATCGTTCATGAGTTATGACTTAAAATTAATTTCAGTTTCACGTTTTTCGATGCAGTTACACCTGGTGGCCGCTGGCTCAAAGTGGTACTGTGACATTGTGCAGTTACACCTGGTGGCTGCACCGGCTGACTGTGCTGCTATGGCATCGTGTGTCACAGAGCACGCATGTAGCCAAGGGGCCAAAGAACACAGACGAACCTAAGCCGTGGCAACAACAACAAAATTACATTTTTAAAGCGCCTTTCATGTCAGGAGGACGGTCCCAGTGATTATAAATTGTACATTTATATTTATCATTATAAAGATGCCTAAGCAAAAATCAAACCTTTCAAGGATAAGTAAGTGTGTGTCTATGTGTCAATCTACATTCCATATTGCATCCTTTAGTAACAAGCGTAGCTGCAACAGATACAGCTAGTAGATACATAAATCTACATTAACAGGTTAATCTGGACTGGATTAACATTAATTTAAATAAAGATGCTTTTATACACAAAAAAGTAATCTTACCTCTCTCACAGCACAGTCATGTGGGGCTTCCTCTTTATTCACTTTGCCTTTCGGAAACCCCCATCCAGATTTTGCCAGATAGCCTTGCACAAGTAGTGCCTGTGTCACAGAGGGTGTGTGGCGTGAAAAAAAAATCAGTTCCATCTATATGCATTCATGTTAACACATTTATAATCTGTATTGATAGGAGGGAGGTAAGGGGAAGGGAAAGATACCATTACTGCAATTTTCCTCCACACCGGGTTCTTTGCTTTCCTATTACTACAATAACAATTTGAACTTATATAGCACCCTCCACACAGGGTAGCGTCTCAGAGCACTTAACAATGGCGAAGCCTGACTCCGAGCCTGGGAGGGGGAGGAGGTCAAAGAGGAAAGTTTTCAGGCGGGACTTGGAAGAGGGGAGAGAAAGGGCAAGGCGGAGGGTGAGGATTTTGAAGTTGATCTGTTTGTTGATAGGGAGCAGTGGAGCCTGGCTAGAACCGGTGAAGTGTGAGTATGGAGTTTGGTCCGGATCAGTATGCGGGCAGCAGAGTTTTGAATGAGCAAAGTACTACTGACAAAGGCAACACACAAGGTGTGACTGTTGCATTCAGTGACTGTGACCGAGGAGAGCCTTTATTCCATCTCAGAAGGTAATGAAATCTAGCTAAGCTCTTAGTGACTATCCTCCGTGTGGGGGGGGGGGGGGGAGGTAAAAGAGTTTAGCAGGGTATCCATGGAGCTGAACTAATTCCAATGTACATGTTTCTTAGTAGGACTTGGGGAGGCAGACCAGTCATTATGGGCAAGGATTTTTTCCACTCAGCTCCCATTAACCCTGCAAGCCCAAATCCCAGTGGGTTGGGTGGTCCTAAGCTGGGCTAGCAGCAGGAATGTTTCAAAGCATTATCTGCCAATGGCAAGCTATGCAATTTTAGCTGATCAGATTCCAGCAGGACCTCAATGCACATTCTGGGGTCTCCAAGCCTTGGCTCTCCCCAACCTGTACCTAATACTCTCTGCTAGGTAAGCAGGGGGTTTCCCTCCAAGGAAAGAGTGCACATTCTATTCCAACACCTGGGAATTTCCATGTGTAGGTGAGATATATGGAACTTTCAGTTTGGTTACTCTTAAGCATGGTGATGGGTTTTGCATATCTCAAGACACCCGGCTGACCAAAAAAAAGCTAACTGAGCCCTCTCCTCTTCCTTCCCCTCCTTCGCAGTCTCCAGCTGTCATGCCTGTAGGCAGATTGAGCCACGAGCCTGGCTTACATGACAGTTACTCATCTTTGTCCCAGTTGCTTGTTATATAAGTTGGATCTGCAGCCAGAACCTTGAAACTGTGTTTGGGTGAACATGCGAATATACAGTTGTTTTGATGTCAACCGTGTTTTGGGATTCCTAACAGGATGACATCCTAGTACCCACAGCCCCCAGGCACTTCAGAGCAGCTTCTGAAGTACCTGCAATATGAACATGCCATCACATTCTCATTAAACCACCATCTGTATTCAGAAAGTTCAAACATATTCACAAACCAGTGTTGTGTTAATTGTGCTTCCAAATTGTAAAATGCACATCTGGCAAAAAGAGCTAAAACGCTGACAAGAGACAGATGGTATTTTCCTCACCAGCAATTTTTTTCTAGGACTCTTCCGACTAAGTTTAGCTTCATGAGTAACCAATGCGATGTTAGCAAATAAAAATCCAATTTAACAACAAACAGTCAAGTTCTAAACTGCAGGAGGAAGCAATTTGTTCTAAGATTACCACAATTCTATGCATTGGACAGTGTTATCATACTGAGAGGTCTCAAAGCACTTCATACAACAAGCTGCTTTGAACTGCAGTAACCTACATGGGGAAAGTCATTGTAATCAATCGTAATACAACTTTCCATATAAACGGTACAGAGAGCTTGCAGACCAAGCTGACTGACATTAACAGATGAAGCCATAAAATCATTCCCTCTAGTTTTTGTCTCATTAAATAGTCCCATAAGTGACTAAAAAGGCCTGAACATAGGAATGTGATCTATAATCAATGATTAAGTATGGCTATCTAAATTATAGGTATTTCCTTTATTTTATGAATGTATTAAAAATGACCTTCAAAAATATGAACATAGACAATTTCCTATATATCTGGTTACCCACATTAGTCACTAAAATACAACTCAAATTTACTCCTGCAATTATTTTCTTTTAAATGCAAATGAACAAAAAATACCTCCACTAAACCATAGTAATTTTGTACAGAGGCAGCTCTTCAAGACGTAGGACTTTATTGGACAACAATTTAGATTTCCATAATCCCTTCAAAGTGTTTGGCAAACCAACTTCAATACAAGTATTGCTTTACCAAGATTCACTTATTCTAAGTCAGCACGTCAACTCTAGAGGATTGTGCACAGCAGAGAGAAGTACTTTTAAAAGGCCTTTACCTTTAAAAATAGAGCTAACTAAAATTATACCAGTTACCATTTTGAAATATGGTTTGCTTCCAAACTTGGTGAGGGCCAACAAGTGAAGACGGTTTTACTTACCATGAACCTTGGCCTTTCCACAAGATACAAACACAGCATTCAAACTAGCCACTTCTACATCATGATCAGTGATAGACACATGTTTATTTTCTCAAACAAAGCGAGTACATTTAGAATCTCAAATATACAGCAGCCACTCCAGACAGTTACTTACATTTTCCAGTGTTTCATCCAGTATAATTGCACCATATGTAGGGACTCCCATCTTATACTCCTTCCAATCATCTAAAATATTTTCCACATCATCCCCTTTGCGAAGTAAAAACGGACAGTGATTGAAGAGTTCAACTGCGGTTAAGGAAAACACTAACAAGACGAGTTACATTGCATTTGACATTTGTTTTTTTTACAAAGGAAAATACAGCAACACCCAGTCAAAGTTGTATATAAGTCTACATATTCTGTGACTGTCAAATAATTCTGAAAACACTTTATAGTCAATTTTTCTTCTTCCCATTTGAACCCCCACTCCCACCACAACCACCAATTTTCTTTCCCTCCTCTGTTGAAGGTGCAGACGCATGTTGGGGTCCTTTAACACAGGTACTGAGTTCCCACAAGCACCTCATCAAAATTGTCATTTTTTTAAAGTCACAAGCCCAAACACCAGTCATTTATGAACGATTCATTCAACACATCATCGTCAAGTCCAATTACATCCTCACCCTTACATCTGATTACATGCAATGAAGGATTGGCAAGGATCATTGGACAGGAACCAGAAATCCTGGTTGGGTTTTCTCCTCCTCAATCCAGAAGATTTAAAACCTGGATGGAGCCGCAACTGAGATCAGCTAACTCAGCACAAGCAAGTCTTGGTCTGTATGGACCAATATAATCCATACTGTGTATCCACTGTGTATCCACCCACTGATCCCCATCAATGAATCCCTGATAATAATACTAAACAAAATTCATTGCATAATTTGTAGTGAGTTATTACACCCATTGATTCAGGGCTGTACGTTTTTGACATAAAATAAGTGAAACACCAAGTGAAAATAATCAACCTTTCAAGGAAACTAATCTATGCCATTCCCAGAAAAATTGGTGATAACAAAAAGTGTCATGGAATAATACAAACATGTTATTGATGAGTAACAAAAGCACTGTAGAAGGGGCATTACATACAAACAACTAATAATTGTGGGCCATTCAGATTTCCACTTGAATACTTGTTTTTGGCTGTCGTTTTTAGAGGGACTAAAAATGAAATTATCATGATGCTGTGAATTGCCAGATAAAAAATAAAAATAAGGTATACTAATTAAAATAAATATTGATCTTGTATAGAATTAGACATCAACGGTGTGGAAGGATTCATTTCATAGTATATATTGTGAGATAGCATAGTTACAACTTGATTATTCAAAGTTATCTGAAGTGCATCTTCCATGGACTGAAGTACTGCCACCCGCTTCATACAACGAGTTGTGTTAACATTTCATGTTTTGTCTCCAAGTTTCATTGGTCAAAGATCATGAAGACAAAAAAGTTATTCCAAGATTAATCAAATCTATCAGTAACATCTTAAAGATAATGTTAGTGTCTGTAAAAAAAATGTGATGTGGGAGGAGTGAATCTCATCTAAGCATGTAAGATACTTAATGGTACAAATGGGGGTGAACCAAAAGTATTACTTCAAAAGTAGGTCAATAAATAAGATTAGAGGACCCCATGAGTGCAAAAAAATTAGAGCTGAGGTCAGGACAGCAATAAACATTTAGAATAATCTGCCAACATATACAATAGAGAAAATCATTTGGGGTCATTCAAAACAAGGTCAACGGTAGAATACAATAAGCTTTGGTGGATGGGACAGCATTTCCTTACACTGTTACACAAAAAATGCAAAGCATCTCCAGTTGAGATGAAAACATTAGAGCCCCACTGCACTTCATACAGAGGTCCTTTATTTCAACTTTCTTTTTCCTCCATCTTTCCGTGCATTTGAAAAAATATGTCTTTTCCATGTATCAATAAAAAATGAAACTCAACCAAATTTCGCATGAAAAACGTACAGCCACTGGGATTTTCTGACACAACCCTCCCAAAATACAGGCAAAACTGGCATCCAAACTTGCAATTCTCTTGAGTTACAAGGCCATGCAAAAAAAATCATTTGCTAAAGCTATACTTCAGGATAAGGTTTATAGAGCTTTATCCCAGAGTACTCCAGCTTCACATACTACTTACATGCACTTGAAATTCTTCCATGCATTGGAACTGATCATTTGCAATGGCATTAACCAGACTAAAACTATTATTTGGAAGAAAAGTACTCCCCAGATTAACCTATAGTACTGCTGTAGTTCTAATGGAGACTTCCCATGATTTTTTCAATAAAGTGAATATTTTGCTGAAGTACAGCTATTATCAAAAGGATATCTGATTTGGCAAAATCTCTTATCCCACACTGAGGCAATCCTGGTGTATTCTGCAAGTAGAAGTCCAAGTAAAACCAATGGGCCAGCTCAATCTGAAAGCACACTCGAATCGCATTGTCCCTTTCTTCACTTGGAATGTGCAGAATGAATCGGCTGTACAATAGATAAGCCGAATAATTACCCTTCAATATTAGTTGTTATTGCATTATTTCCATTTCTAAAAATATTTCAACATCCTGATTAATATTCTATCACACTACAAATGCTTGCATTAACTGATTATCAAGCTTATCAGAATGAAATCTAAAGACGTTGCAAAAGTTAGCATAAACTTTGATCAGATATCAGACAAGCATTATTGTTTTTGATCCCCCAAATAAATGTGTCTGCATTCCCAAAGAAGAATGCAGTGTAATATGGAAGGCTTCAAGAAATAAACAACTTAATGCCAAGTATGCAGAGCAACACAGGAGATTCCAAGACCAAGGAGACACCATATCATACTTGCTGTTCAAATGAAAAATCTGACCTATTTTGCATACTGTTCAATGGGACATGCTAAATCCACACATGTTATAGAAACAGGCCTCATTTTATGATGGCTGTTCACAAGAAAATAATCTTGGTAGGATTTATGTAAGGATGAATAAAACATTAACAATTGCTAAAATTAGGCAATTATTTATGTGAACATTAAAGAAAACAATCATCTGTAAAAATGCTGTCTTAATTCATACATGTTTCTAATGCTTAAATTATGATACATCATACAGAAAAACTAAAATGTGAAATAGAGGATATTAAATGACCTCAACAAGATACCAAAGAATGGGAACTTAACGTTTTCATAACTATTAAAAGGAAAAAGGCTAAACGTAAGATCCAAAAATGTGTGAACACAACTATCCTGTCTCTTGCACAGAATAAAAATATACTTTTCTTTAAAAAACATACTGAACATACTGCAGGAAGACTGAAATCTGTATAAAAAAAACTTGGTACCCATTCAGAGTGTGATTCAGTTCACATAAAAGCACTTAGCAGTATTAAAAAAAAGTCCAGTTATGGTCCATGTAAATGCATCTAAACCATATAAAATATACACCATGAACAACAAGAGTAGAACATTTTTAATTTTAAGCCTGTAACTAATAGCATGCATAACCAATCTTACTTTCTCTATCCAGATATTACATATTCTGTAAATGTACTAAAACTTACACAAAGTTTAATACAACCTATTCATCGCTGATCTACATTCACCTAGGTTTTGCTGATCGAATTTGGTTTACAGTGAATCTTAGTGGAAACTGAGCCAAAACACAGTAGTTGAAGAAACATCATTGAAGGAATACTCTTCATGGAGGATGGGCAAGGTAAGCAAGGTCTCCTTGGGACTGAGCTGGCTCCAAGGTGATGTTGCAATGGAATGACAGAATGGATTCTGTGGTGGTATTGGGTTCCTGAGGCAGGCAAGCCACAGTACTCAAAGGCACTAATGACAGACCAACCAGCCAGGCTTGACAGGAAGACTTGGGAGAGGCATGGATTCTCCCACTCGGCTCCAACTAACCCTGCAAGCCAAAACCTTAACGGGTTGGGTGGTTGGTCCTAGAAGGACAATCAGCAGGAAGCTTTCCACTATGCAGATCCCTCATCCTTGGCTCTCGACAATTTGTGTGCACCTAATACTTTCCAGAATTAGATAAGCAGTATTCACCCTTAGGAGGGAGAACTCAACTGAAAAAAAAACACCCTGTTAAACCCGGGAGTTGGCCAACAGTGGAACTAACAACTCTGTTAAACGTGGGATCCAGATGTGGCTAGAAAAGACCAGCTTTAATCCAAATACTAGGAAAATAGGAAGTCCTTACTCAAGAGTTTTTAATAATTCAAGTTTTTTTTGAACAAAGACCTCATTGGTAGAGCTAATACAGATGTCTTTCATCATGTTCATGAAAGATTTTGTGGCCAAGTTGATATGTGTAGATGTCTACATGGCATATAGTTTGCACATATAAACCTATAAGTAAGGACTTTTGATTCACCTGTATAAAGTCAGGAACCCACAAACAGAGGAACCAAAGTCACTTATATTCTATGCTTAACAATTCATTTAATTATGGAGGCAAAATGAAATAGTTTCAAATGAATTCAATAAGCAGGCCTACAAAAGGCACGTCACAATCCTGGCAATATTACTGTGTTCCTGTACTGTCAATGTCTGTTCTTTCTTCTTATGATATATCTCGAATCTCAGAAAACCTCAGTTGGGAGTTCTGCCTTCCTGGAGGAATGAACAACGTACCCGCTCTCAAGCCAAATCTAACTGACTAAACACAGCAATGTAGCTCGACTATACTTTATATCATAGTTATCTACGTCAGGCTGCTCAGTGCATGTTAGCTGACTGATTGGACTGTACAGCAGCAATTAATTCACAACCCTAACAGACACAAAAAACTGCAGCTACAATAATAAATTCACTTCTTCCTTGGCCAATTTAACTGTTCATAACACAATACATAACATATTGCATCATATCATTTTATCTAGCACCATACCAGCTACCCTGTGACACCTGTTATGTTTAGATAGAAGTTCCACAATTTACCTTAATTAAAAGATTTTAAGAATAAAGATTGTAGTTCTGCAAGTCATCCCACATCAGCTAACAAGCATAAGCAACCTTCACTTAAATAAAAAAAATTATAAACAGAATTGTAATTCTGGGGATCAGCTTGACACTAGCCAACAAGCATAAGCATACGTAACTTAACCAAAACTTTTTTTTATTCTTAATACAGTAGGATTATAACAGCTATGTTCAATTTGCTTTTTAAAATCAAATACATGTAAAGATAATAATAATAATCCCTGCATTTTATAAAGCACCTTATCATGTCTTCAAGAGGCGTCTCAAAGCACTTCACAGAATATACTGTAAAGTGAATTGACTGTATATTTTGTGGGCGAAACGCAGGAACCAATTGTGACAGCAGTCATCGATTGAGTGACCAAATTATTTTTAGAAAAGCAATTGGTCAATCAACTAACAACTGGGTTCCTACTTACTGCCAGGTAAACAGAGGCATGTGGAGTAAGGAAACTTGTCCAACATTTCACCCTGCCGGGAATCAAACCCATGTCCTCTCACTTGCAAAGTGCTCTACTGATACTGAACCAGGTTAGAATCTTTTTTAAATACTGACATAAACAGCATCAATAATAGATACTGAATATAAACACACTGTTTATATAACTTGATTTCATTTTATACACATCGACGATATTAAAATTTAGCCTATTAAGTATTACTTATTGGTTCTTTGATTTTATATATTCAGTTTCACAATGCTATTCCTAAAATATAAATTTCAATTGTTGATCAAAGTTGCCAAAAGTACATAAGGTGAACAGAAGAAACCACTGAGGCAAAGAACAAGTCAGTATTAATGATTTCTGGTTAATTAAAAGGGCTTCCAAACATAATTAGCATCTGGCAGAGGTTCAGCTTTTTTTTAAAAAAACATTTTTTCCCATTTACTTCAATCATTAGATTTCTGGAAGAATTTCCCTCACAATGTTTGTAGTTTCTTTATTGGCTGTTAATTTCTTTGTGAGTCTTGCTCAAGGCAAATGTTATACAGGTTTCCCAGCGTCAATCCTTTCCCACACTCCTTAAAATGTCCCTTCTTTCTGCCACTCCCAAGTCTACTTGTAATTATAGTCTGATGTTAGCTATTTTGCCTATGAACCTGATCACCTGTGAAACTTCTGGATCACAAAATAAAATGAAACCAATGAATTTCATATAACAAACCATAACAGAAAACATCTCAAAGCACTATAAAGCAGGGTAAGTGCTGCAGGCAGGGCAGCTAAGTGTTAAACAGCCAGTTTATAGCGTAGATACTAGTACAAACTTCCACCTTCACATTTAATAAGTTATCTCTGAAGCTGTTTCTAAATAAATGTCTGCAAGCAACAACAACAACAACAACAAGATTCCATTTATAGAGCGCCTTTCACGTCAGGAGGACGTCCCAAGGCGCTGCACAGTTGGGTCATGACCCGAGCAGGGGGGAAATGGTCAGGGTGAGGGGAGGGAAGGGAGGGAGCGAGGAGGGGGGAAATGGTCAGGGTGAGGGGAGGGAAGGGAGGGGGCGAGGAGGAGGAAGAGAGTCGAGAGGGGAGCTGAAGGCACGGTCAAAGAGAAGATTAACAAACAGATTAATTGAGAAACTCCCCCAAGTAAATATACATGCTTTGGAAGTTTGCCCAGTCTGCACAAATTTGGTTTCAGGCAATTCCCAAATCTAATTCCCAGATTTTTTCCTCCTCGGTAAAGCATACAGGAAGTTCTTGATTAGTTCAACTGCAACCCATTGCTTTTGATGGGGAAGGAGAAATGAGGGAACCTTCAGCCTACATCTTATGCCTCCAATTTTTCTTTGCATTCTCAATCTGACTGGATTGAGTTTTCCTACATGCAGGAATTTAGACCTTCCTCCTCAACAACAAATCCATCTGTCTTCCTCCTATTTGGTTTGTTTGGTTTTTAACCCTACAATTATCAGTTCTTATTCATTTATGTTTATTAAGCTCTTCTGCATCATTTAGGTTTTGTGTTTGATATTTTGGTAAAGTTTACAAATAAGCTTCAAACAGGTTGAAAGATTTGAATTTCTGTGGCTTAAATTCACTTATTTTAGCCAAGCCTCAGTTCCTACTGCTCACTCTTGAAGCTTGGTAAATAATAATCATAATTTTTTCTCCCATTTCCATTATTTTCTGAACATAAATACACAGCTGATAGAATTGAAATAAGGAAGCCTGAAAATCAAAAACAGAAAATTAACTCTGGATTGAATCACAAATTAACTGCATTACCAATTCTGATCTCAATCTGTATGTTCTATTGGTATGCTAACATGCTATGCACCAAAGTGGAAATGACAACAGCTCATGCTCAAAAGTGCCCTATACAGCAAAATCCAAACCAGTCTGTTAAGTGACACTGTAAAGAGAAACTTCTCAAGGAAGGTAGAAGAGGGAAAGGAGCCGAGGAAAAACAAGTAGATGCACGATAATAACTGATAATAATAATCCTTGTTTTTGATATAGCACTTTTCACGGCTTCTAGACGTCTCAAAGCGCTTCACAGGATACAGTGGACTGTAAAGTGAATTGACTGTATATTTGTGGGCGAAATGCAGCCGCCAATTGTGCACAGCAGTGTCCCACAAACAGTTGTGGATTGAAGTAACCAATTTATTATTGTTTTGTTTTCTTGAGGGATTATTATCATAACTAAATATAGTATTCCCAAAGGACATTCTCATGCTCAGCGACATTTTCGTGCTAAAGGGTGGAAATAAAAATAAAAACAGAAACAAACAAATAAGTTTGATGTGCTCAGCTGCTGATGGAAACAAACGCTAAGCTTCCCCTTGACAGCTCAATTTATAACATCACTGCCATCATGAAACTGAACTATACAGATTTAGAAGAATCCAGTTGGTTTCAGTGTGTGCCCAGTTAGCTGATCTCACCTGGGGCAATAGTGGGCATATTAGGCTCAGGCAGGGAGAAGGATCACCGATGTCATCTAATTCCTGTTAGCATCCAGAAGATATGTGGATACAAGACTCACACATGATCAGGTTCTACTGCAATTCTATCCACAAATACATAGCCTGCTGGCACTCACCTGCACATTATACATTATAATAATAATAATAATAATAATCGTTGCATTTGATATAGCGCTTTTCACGTCTGGAGGACGTCCCAAAGCGCTTCACAGAACACACTGTAAAGTGAATTGACTGTATATTTGTGGGCGAACGCGGCAGCCAATTGTGCACAGCAATGTCCCACAAACAGTCGTAGATTGAAAATGACCAATCTATTATTGTTTTTTTTTTGGTTTTTTGGAGGGATTATTATTAGGCTCTGTGTGGAGTAAGGAAACTTGCCCAAGGTTTCGCCCTCTGCCTGGAATTGAACTCAGGTCTCTCACTTGGACAAGATATTAAAGAGCATAGAGCATCCAACTAAAGCAAGATGAATCAGCGTGCCAGGCCAGGGGTAGAAAAGCCCCCAAAAAACTGCATTCTGAAAATTGTACACTCAGTAATGTTAAAGGATTTTCACATTTTGAATATACAGTATAAAGAAACAGCAATGTGATCGCACATCAAAGGCTTGGCAGAACAAATGTATGATGCACATTTCTCTAACCGTGACAAATCACAGATAAGAATACAAACAATAAAGACAATAACAAAAATACACAGAAATTATATATACATATAAAAACAACCCCCGGCCCGGTCCCAGCCTGCGGCCCACTCTGATATACTATAAACCCTCACATGGAGAGAAACTCTATTCAAACTTGCGCCATGTCTGAGGATCCCAAGGCACAGAGATTGTTGGGAGGAACTGAATAGCGAAATACAGCAACACGAGAGATACAGAGACCATTCAACCCCGACACCTCCCTTCATCCCCACAACTTACTTCAATTTTAATGATGAAAACAACTAACCAGCGCCAACTCCATGACCGTCTCCCTCCCTCCCTCCCTTTGTGCTTTTCTCTCCTCACCAGATACTCACTCACATACACACTCACTCACTCACTCACATACACACACACGCGGGGGGGGAAGGGGGTAAAGAAGCGAAAGTGAAACTCCCTTCACTCTGTCGCCATTTGAGAGCAATAACAGTGACTAATGTCTATGTATCGGGAGCGGCCTCCAGTGTAACTGGGTCTCCAACTCTAACCCCTGGGCTCGCTGCCGCCGGGCCGGGCCGGGCCAGGCCGGGCCTAGTGTGGTCTGACCGGGGGGGACTCTCGAGCCTCAGCCCCACAAACACAAACACGGCTCTGCTCTGGGGAGTGTGTGACTGCCCTCCCGGACTGCCGTGTACCTGCACAGGTCATCCAGCACCTCTCCCGGGATCTCCACTCGCTTGGTCTCCATCCCCGGCCTCAGCCCCGGCCTCCCCCTCCCTCAGCCCCTCCCCCAGCCCCGGCCTCCCCCTCCCTCAGCCCCTCCCCCGGCCTCCCCCTCCCTCAGCCCCTCCCCCAGCCCCGGCCTCCCTCAGCCCTCCTCAGCCCCGGCCTCCCCCTCCCTCAGCCCCTCCCTCAGCCCCGGCCTCCCCCTCCCTCAGCCCCTCCCCCAGCCCCGGCCTCCCCCTCCCTCAGCCCCTCCCCAGCCCCGGCCTCCCCTCCCAGCCCTCCCCAGCCCCGGCCTCCCCCTCCCTCAGCCCCTCCCCAGCCCCGGCCTCCCCTCCCTCAGCCCCTCCCCAGCCCCGGCCTCCCCCTCCCTCAGCCCCTCCCCCAGCCCCGGCCTCCCCCTCCCTCAGCCCCTCCCTCAGCCCGGCCTCCCCCTCCCTCAGCCCCTCCCCCCCCCCTCCCCCTCCCTCAGCCCTCCCCCAGCCCCGGCCTCCCCCTCCCTCAGCCCGCCTCCCCTCCCTCAGCCCCTCCCCCAGCCCCGGCCTCCCCCTCCCTCAGCCCCTCCCCCAGCCCCGGCCTCCCCCTCCCTCAGCCCCTCCCTCAGCCCCGGCCTCCCCTCCCTCAGCCCTCCCTCAGCCCCGGCCTCCCCCTCCCTCAGCCCCTCCCTCAGCCCCGGCCTCCCCTCCCTCAGCCCCTCCCCAGCCCCGGCCTCCCCCTCCCTCAGCCCCTCCCTCAGCCCCGGCCTCCCCCTCCCTCAGCCCCTCCCTCAGCCCCGGCCTCCCCCTCCCTCAGCCCCTCCCTCAGCCCCGGCCTCCCCCTCCCTCAGCCCCTCCCTCAGCCCCGGCCTCCCCCTCCCTCAGCCCCTCCCCCTCCCTCAGCCCCTCCCTCAGCCCCGGCCTCCCCCTCCCTCAGCCCCTCCCTCAGCCCCTCGGACCCTCCCTCAGCCCCTCCCCCAGCCCCGGCCTCCCCCTCCCTCAGCCCTCCCTCAGCCCCTCCCTCAGCCCCGCCCCCTCCCTCAGCCCCCTCCCTCAGCCCCGCCCCCTCCCTCACCTCAGCCCCGCCCCCTCCCTCAGCCCCGCCCCCAGCTCCGGCCTCACTGCCTCCCGCGGTCCGGCCCCGGAGCCTCCCCGCCCGCCATTCCAGCTGCCTTTGTGACGTAGGACTGATTGACAGCGGCGGAGCCGAGCACAGCGCTGCCTGTGTGACCTGTCACGAGGGTTGGGGGGGATTGTGGGGGGAAGTTGAGGGAAGGGGGATTGGGAGGGGGATTGTGGGGGGAAGGGGATTATTGGGGAGGGGATTGTGGAGGGAAGGGAGGGGATTGTGGGGGGAAGGGGATTATTGGGGGAGGGGATTGTGGAGGGAAGGGGAGTTGGGGGAAGGGGGATGTGGGGGAAGTTGAGGGGGATTGTGGGGGAAGGGGATTATTGGGGGAGGGGGATTGTGGGGGGAAGGGGATTATTGGGGGAGGGGGATTGTGGGGGGAAGGGGGAGTTGGGGGAAGGGGGATTGTGGGGGGAAGTTGAGGGATTGGGGGAGTGGGATTGTGGGGGAAGGGATTATTGGGGAGGGGATTGTGGGGGAAGGGGAAGTTGAGGGCAGGGGGATTGGGGGAGGAAGGGATTGTGGGGGAAGTTGAGGGAAGGGGATTGGGGGAGGGGGATTGTAGGGGGAAGGGGGGTTGGGGTAAGGAGGATTGTGGGGGGATTGGGATTGTGGGGGAAGGGGGAGGGAGATTGTGGGGTGAAGGGGGAGTTGGGGGAAGGGAGATTGTGCGGGGTGGGGGAGGGAGATTGTGCGCGGGAGGGAGATTGTGTGGGGGAGGGGGGAAGGGGGATTGTGGGGGGAGGGGGATTGTGGGGGGAGGGGGGAAGGGGGATTGGATTGGAGGGGTATGGGAGGGGGAAACTCCCTTCACCTTTTTGCATCATGCCATTGGATGTGGACCGGACCTCAGTTTAACTGATGGACAGCACGTTTCACAGCACCAGTTCCAGGTTTGGTGCAAACAGCACTGATTGAAACCATCACAGAATTTATTTGGTTAACTGGGTGTGTGATACATGCAGAAACCCATCATCCTGTTTAATGACGATTAAAGCCTCCCGACGTGAAAGGCACTATACAAATGTAATCTTGTTGTTGTTGTAAAAGTATCTAATCCAGACTGACAGTTCCATGCACATGGAAATTCTTGTTTCTGGAATTGAATGCACCCTTGTTTACATCATTCTGGAAAGTATTAGTACAGGTTGGCAAAGTGCGTAGGGAGTAGTGCTGGAGTTTAACCAGTTAGAACTGCATAGCTTGCCAACTGCAACTGCATGGCAGCCAATTTGCTCATAGCAATGTTTATTGCACAAAATTTTTATCACTGAATATTGCTCATTCTTGTTAGACTGCCGGAGGATCCAAATGAACACACTGATTCTTATTTACACAAACAAGCTGCAATTTTGACCTTTGATTTTTACTTTTTTAGTTGTGTGACTTGGAATCTTAAAAATATACTTTTGAGAGTGAAGCTAAACATGCAATTCTCGAATGTTTGGTCACTAAGTCTATTAAATCTATCCTATTATTTTCACATGAGGGTTGTGCAATAGTTTTGCTTTTGATTTAAAAACTTTTGTGATTACAACATTTCTTGTGGGAGCATATTGCATAATCTTACCCAACACTACAATGTGGCAACCCTATAAATTCATAATCCTGATTAATTATTACTTACTGACTAATATGTATGTGTTCAGTAGAAATCAGCATGAGTTACATTGTACATTACATTAAGTGCTCTGGGACGCTACCCTGCGTGAGGGACGCTATATAAATTCAAGTTGTTGTGGTACTCCATAGAATTGTCATATACAGTTCTTCATTAACACTTTCCTATTAGAGTTTGGCTTCAGTAACGGCTATGGCTCTCACTGATGCTGGAGTTTCATCAGTGATTTTAGCTTTATTTTAGCCTGTCAGTTTTCCACATAATTTTCCCTTGTTACTTCTGTTACCCAAATTTTATTTTGGTCACATGTAGAAATCTATCACAACGCTTAATACTGTAGTATTGAAACAGCCTGAGAGTTGTACATATGTATGACATCTACACGTGGAAATTTCCCTGTGTCTGAACTAGAATGCATACTCCCTGAAGCAATAATAAAAACTTGCATTTATACTTTCATGTAAGGTAAAGTTTTGGAGGAATGTACAAAGACAGGGTCAGCCGCTAAGCAAAGAAGAGGCCAAGAATGGGGAAGTGGCCATACGCATGGTCAAAAGTGGCGAAAGTTTAAGGCAGGACTTAAAGACAGATAGAGAGGCGTCAACGGAGGGGCAGAGAGAGTAAGTTCGAGAGGTTAGGAGTATGGAATCTGAATGTTTGGCAACTGAAATTGCCCAGCAGAGGGGGTTAGTGGAGGGGACAAGTGGATGGGATGAGCAGAGGAGTGGCATAGGAGTAGAACTGAGAGATAAGAAGGTGCTATAGTATGAAGAGGTTTTCAGGTAAGGGTGAGGACTTTGAAATCAATCCTCTGTGAGCCAGGGAATCGGTTTAACCATAGAAACCAGAAGAAGGACATTCGGCCCATCGTGTCATTGTGGAGTCTGGCAAGGACTGGGATAATAGCAGTGAGGCTGGTGACCGTTTTGTCAGGTGAGGCAATCTGAGTTTGCTTAAGCAAACCATCTTGTTATCATGGCAAAGGGCCCTTCAACCATGGACAGTGTCTTGGCCTAAAGTGTTTGGCTCCAGTAATGGCTATGGCTCTCACTGATGATAATAATAATATTAATAATTCTTGCATTTGATATAGCGCCTTATCACATCTTCAAGACATCTCAAGGCGCTTCACAGAATATACTGTTAAGTGAATTGACTATATTTTGTGGGCAAAATTTTGTGGGTGAAATCCAAGTTTTATTTTCGTCAGCAAGGTTTCTGACAGAAATCTGTCACCATGCTTAACACTGTAGTATTGAAACCAGCCTGAGAGTTCCACATTTGTATGCCATTTACCCCCACCCGCCTTGCTCTCTCCCATGCTGCTCTCACAATGCTCATCAGATGATGTGGTGCCTAACTTGCCTCACCTGATGAGCTGCCACTGGGTATGGAGTTTTGTGCAGGTGAGGATGCAGGCAGTGGAGAGTTGGATAAATTGGAGCTTAGGGAGAACAGAGTTGCGTGTGTCAGAAAAGCCTAAATAGGAGGTAACAAAGAAACACCCAGGTTATCTAATTCCAGAGAGTATTTGTTGCCCCAAAAGTATTATTAATAATTGAATAATATCCTTTCACATGAAGGACTCAGTGTTCAGGCAACATAATCCCTTGTGACACAATTTATTTTTGCTATTCGTGATCTACCTTCCTTTTATTTAATCTATTTTGAGGTAGAAAAGGCACAGCTAGAGGAACTCCCAACGATGCAGAAGCCCCAAATTCCACCTAGTATCAACGTGTTTTATTTTAAAATGCAGGACCGCACAGAATTGTGAAAATTCTTAAATTCAGTCTTAATTTAGAAGACAGTTTCCCAAAGACCTTTAAAATAATGAATTGTACATTCAGATGGATTTAAGGATTTTCAACAATTCTGCACAATTTAAAGTCAAAGGGTCATACAGGCTAAAACTGCATGAAATTTCAAGCCCTTTATAATGTCTCGCAAAGAGTATTCCTGGTGGTTATTGAGAGCAAAAAAATTGCCCAGGAAGTTTTGTGCTGGAATGCTGTGGGCAGGTTTACAGCCTTGACGTGGCCTTTTGCATATGCTGGCCCATCGTTTCTCACTCAATAACAGCTTGTCCAATTATCCGCCTCCATTTCTCCACCCTTATGCTCACCCATACTAAACTGCATCACACCAACCATTGCCAGGCTCCACTAGCTCCCTATTATAGAACGGATCGATTTCAAGATCCTCTCACTCGTCTACCAACCACTTCACACCCTGGCACCTCTACTGTTCAGCACTCTTGAGACGCTGCCTATGTGAAGGGTATTATGTAAATGCAAGTTGCTGTCTTTGCTTGTTATCCAAAATAAATAACAGAGGAGGGCAAAT